TTTTCAGACCGATGAGCTTTGTTAAAATCGACACGTTTCAGAAAGGCGGACATTATTAAACATAATGTACAGTATGTGGAAAATAATGTGTTTTTTGAAGCTTAAACCGCATAAACACATTTCATTACACCAAATACACAAAATAATGTTCTTTTTAGCAGCATCATATGACCCCTTTAAAAAATAAATAAATAAAAACAAAACATTAAAGGGATAGTTCACCAAAAATAAATAAATAAATAAACACATTCTGTCATCATTTACTCACCCTCATGTTGTTTCAAACCTGAATGACTTACTTTCTTTTGCACAACATAAAAGAAGGTATTTTGAATACTGTTGGTAACTAAGCTGTTTTGGTCACTAGTGACTTTCATTGCATGAACAAAAAATACTGAGATGTTTCTCAAATTATCTTCTTTTATGTTCCATAGTTTATGTTAGGCTATTGTAGCCTAAACATTTAAAACAACAATAGCTTTAAATTATATTTTGGGGGGTATTTTCACAGCCATATTTAGTTTGCGATTAATTAGATTAATTAATCGCAGCACACTGTAATGAATTAGATTAAAAATGTTAAATTTTAACGACTGACAGCCCTAATTTAGACATTATAAAATTACTCTTTGTCAAATTTAAGACAATTTTGTACTGAAAAATAAGTAAGTAAAAACCCTTTAGAGTCGGGCTAAAATCTGCCAAACAGGTATGTCAAAAGATTATAAACAATTTCTATTTAAAGTTACCTTTTTTTTCTTCAAGAAAATTTTAGCATATATTGTGTTAAATAAATGTTTGTCTCAGTTAATTTGGTTTTAAACCTGATTTTCTGCTCTGATTTTAAGCCCGCCTCTCGCGGATGATTGACAGCAGAGGGAACCAATCAGCACGTCTCCTGCGAAAGTGAACGTAAAACGGAGAGCTGCAGAAAAAAATTGCAAACAACATCCAGACATCACACAGGGAAGCTACAGTCATATTATCATATCAGCTGTTTGCTTACAGATAACTGATCAATTTTGGACCGGAAAGGAACTTTCATACTTTTACAAATGAGCAGAGAGAGACAGTTTAATGGCTGATAGGATCCACAGAGCACAGGCACAGCTCCTGCTCTCAGCAAATCACTTCCAGCAGCGGCTGCAGTTTGACCAGGAGACTCTCTCAAGATGCATCTAACATTTCAACAGCTTTACAAAGTTTCACACATTAAAATGAATACTTTGTATTCATTTAAGCTAAAAATGTAATATTAGCCTAATGCATATGCGATTGTGGAAAAAAAAGAGGGGGGGGGGGGGACCATT